GCCCGCTCAATGGGCGCCTTTGTGCGCCCCGCTCATGCGCCCGCACAAAGGGGCTCTTCTGCTGTGACGGGGGCGGCCAGAAGGCCCGGCGAGAAAAGCGCCAGCGCTCGGGGGGCAGAGGYTTCCCTGGCGCTCCTCGCTTGCAAAAACAAAATAATTTGGAGAAAAAAAAAAAAAGAAAAGAGAAAGAATAGCGGGGGTGTTTGCAGACAGAAATAACATCTTGCCCCTTTTCTGCCCATTTGAGTGTCCATCGTTCCATTCGCAGAGCGGGGGCACTGGCTTTGTTGATGTCCCCTTGAGGGCAGTGGTGGCAGAGCCGTTTGATTCCTGTCCCTCACGACGGTGCCTTCATCCATCTGGGCCGGCTCCGGGTCGGYGTCACTGAGGACAATGGGGTCCCATCCGCCCCGGCAGCTCCGAGCTGCCCCGCTGGAGCTCGGTTCTGGGCTTTGCTTGGTTTTCCGCACGGATTGAAGCTTTCCTGGGAGCATCCTAGCTGGGAAGCTCACAGCTCACGTGCAGGTTGCTCTTTGGGCAGGGGTAACCATGATTTTGTAGGGTTCACCCTCGAAACGCAGCCCTCGGCGTGGCGAGGGTGACGGACGCAGCGAAGGGAAGGTGCCAAGGACACGGGAGCAGCCTCCGCTCCGTGGAGGCAGCGGCACAAAGCGAAGCTCCCGCCGGGCCCTCCCGGCAGGAGGGTCCCCGGGCTGCCGTTTGTCCTCGTGGCCTTTGCAGAAGTCCAGCACCTTTAGCGCCCTTCGTGCCGCAGGTACCAGGGCGGCTTAAAGCGCAGCCTTGCCTGGGCGCGAGGACTCGCCTGGATTTGTTAGGGGACATTAGGCTAAGTAAGAGTGCCACAAAGAGGATAAGGGATGGAGCGGATGGGGATCAAGGCAGGAACAGATGGCAAACGGCGCCGAGGCACCGAGCAGGTGAGGCAAGAGCCCCACGCGGCCTGAGCTGCCGGCACCAAAACCACCTCCCTGGGGAGGAGAAACGGGGCGAGGAAGCTCAGGGTTGGAGACGTGAAGCCTTTTCGTCCGAGCTCGGGCTTTGGCACTTGGCTCTGGAGCCACTGGTGAGGAAGACTTCAGAAACTCGTCGCTAGCGGGAAAGAGCTCCGTTGTGAAAGAGCTTTTCGTGCTTTCAAACTCACTCGACTTTTCCCAAAAAGCTCCTGGAGTGGCCAATTAGCTCCGCATAACAGACAGACAGATGCACTCTCCAAAAAGATGCTCGGCGCCAAAAGAGCAGCTTGGTTTGTTTGTTTGCCTTCCCCTCCCCACTTTGTTAAAAGGGGAAGCACAATAAGATTATGAAAAAATAATGAGGTGAAGTAAAGCCGTTCCACATAATGAAGCGTGCTCGTTTTCCAAGGGCAACAGGAAACCGCAAGACTTCATGTAGGTCAGCTCAATAGATGCAGAAATTGTTCCCAAGGCAGTTAAATGGAGTTATTTGTATTTACTAATGAGAGATAATTGAGTAGGAGGAAAGACATGCATATTCACGGTGTGATGACTGCTTTTTACCCAGGTGGAAAAGCAGCTGACATACAAAGCTAATAGAAAAACAAAATGATTTTTGGCTTCACCAGCTTGAAATTCTTCCGAAAAGGAATGTCATCCAAACCTTATTTCATCTGCCAAGTGCCTTTTCTTTTTCCTTTCATGTAGCACTTTTCCCTCAAGAGCCCTCAATGCCATGGCAGAAGATGTCCCAGACAAAAGCATCATCTTACAGTCAAAGAACTGAGGTGCAGGAAGAGTGGTGATTTTTCCCCAACTCACCAGAAATCAGACGCGGAGCCAGGCCTCGACTCCCAGTCTCCTGTTTTGCTGTGAACTCTTTTCCTGCTTTTCCTGTGTGCTTTTCCTGCACGCAGCAGGGAGAGAGGTGAAGAAAATCACATGAATGAAAACTAGAGGAAGAAACATATCACAAGACGTACACCTGTTTCTAAGCAACYGCTCCATTTTTCAAAGTTTGCATGAATTTTGGCTCCGTTCTGCTGGCAAGACAGGTTTGCTGGGGATCTGTTTTTTCTCTCTTGTAACTAATGTTATTACCCTTTAAGTGACACGGCAGCAATGCAATTTTGCCGCGGAACTGAAGATACTGATTTTGAGGAGCAAATGCTTGGTGCTCAGAGCATTTCCAGAGTTGTCCTCACTTGTGTCACAGCCCATGGTGTCTGTAGGCCATGACACATGGACAAGGAGTGATGGGACCCAAGGGAAGACTCAGGGACCTTCTTCAATTAGAAAGCTGCTGTGTTTAAGATGCATTCCACACCTTAAAGGGAGAGGGCCTCTGAGCTGATGCATTTTCACCACGTTTCCATTTCCTCAATCAGGCAGAAGACCAGGACAAGAAGGTGCAAGCAGATGTGGGCCTGGTGAAGAATCACAGAATGTTCAAGGTTGGAAGGGACCTCTCGAGATCATCTTGTCCAACCTTCCTGCTCCAGAAGGGACACCTAGAGCATGTAGCACAGGGTGGCGTCTGGGCAGGTTTTGAAGACCTCCAGAGAAGGAGACTCCACAGCCTCCCTGGGCAGCCTGTGCCAGGGCTCTGTYACCYTCRCTGTAAAGAAGTTCCTCCTCACMTGSAGATGGAACCGCCTGTGTTTCAACTTACACCCATTGCCCCTTGTCCTGTCACTGGCCACCACTGAGAAGAGCTTGGCCCCTTCCTCCCTACATTCTCCCTTCATGAACTTACACATGTTAATCAGATCCCCTCTCAGCCTTCTCTTCTCAAGCCCGTTCCCTGCAGCGCTTTCACCCCTGCTTTGCACGTGCAGCAGGAACGGCATGCGTGGACGGATGAAATTCCCTCCTGCCTCCATAGCTGCTCTGCAGTTCGGCGGGCGCCCGGCAGAGGAGCTTCGTGCTGGGACACGGTCCGCTGGCCCACGCTGACGTCAGGACAGCTGACACTGAGACATCTGGCTCCGCTGGGCACAGCTTCTAACAGAGGAGCTCACTGTGACCGCCTTGCAACTGGTACCGAGAGCACAGGAGAGTTTACGTAGACTAGGATTAGTAAGATTAAATAGTTCTTTATTTATATAAATATACATATTTGAATATATTCTTATGGAAGACTGTAATTTCAAAAACATGTCAAACATTCTGTTGGCCAGCAACAAGTCACGTTGACATTAAACTGCTCTTCCACCACCCAGTCATCCTGTGGGCAAGGAAAATGATAGATATTTCCTCAAAATATTACACAATTACTTTAAGTGCCTTTTCTAAAAATAACACGTACATTTCTCAGAGGTGGATAATTTCACTCTCAGTAATTAATAAAATCATAATTGGAAATAAATTTACTCTGGATTATTTCAGTTCTATGATTAAACTGGCAGGTTTATAACCAGGCTGAAGGAACGGGGGACAATTTACGACAGTTTGTGCAAGTTGCTCTGAAYGGCTTGTAAACATTGGGCTTTGTTTTCAGACATGCTGAACGCTACTTAAATCTGACTAAAAATCAGTCCCCTGATGTCTCAGAAAGGAAGGTTACAGTTCTTAAAGCAATAATAGGTTTCAACATAAAAAAACCCAGAAACTTAGTATCTATTTTGCACATTTAATGTGAAAATAATTTACAGTCTATATATATTGTTTTAAATAAACCAATTGCTTTACCTTTTTAAAATATTCATTCATACTGTGTATTATATATTACCTTGAGCTTTCTTCACCTGTCTGCGTTGCTACAGTCCTGAAATGAAAGCACAACACCCCCCAGCAATTGCATGAATTTTGAATTTTCTAGAGTAAAAAATCTCAGGCTAACAAAATTACTGTT